CATCATTGCGTGGCAAAACCAACAAATAGGTAAGATTTCCCCTTTTGCAATAGATTGAGAAATGCAGATAAGACCATTGTCTTTCCAAGAAAAAGAGGGAGAGGATAAAGTAAGAAGTAACAGTGGGAAAAAGGTATATAGGCTTGGTGTAACCATCTTGGGAACACTGTTTCCTTCAGCTGTCATCTGCCTCAATTTCTGGTCAATTTGATTTGAAGGTCTCCAGTGCTCACATAGGACTGGATGTCAGGTGGAGCCTTTTTCAGCAGTGAGATGTACCTACGGCTTGAGTCTCTGGATAGTCAGGCTGTCATCTGGGTAGTAAGGAGGACCTGGTATAGTCCCTTCCTAGGAGATTTACAGGCAGTCTTTGTTCTTATTGATTTCAAATCAGAAGGATGGAAGATCATTGGAAACATTAGTTTGGAGGTTTATAATCAGATATTTGAGAAGACTTGAGGATCCAGTCCCATTTACAGGTATATAAAAAACCTTAAAGACAATTAACAGGGCAAGAATCTAACATCTACAAAGATGCAAACATTAATTTCTCCCTCCATAATTATCTCCCTTTTTATCAAAGTTAATCACAGTAAAACTAATTTGTTAATATTAAACTTGACTTAATTATTTACATAAATGCAGCAAGAATCATTTAAGCTCTTTTTGTAAAATTGCCTTGCTGGAATCTTGTAAGCGAGGCGATAGGCTGATTTTTCCAAGCAGTTTCTTAAAGCTGTCTGGTCACATCTGAGTCTATGTACACTTATCTGGAATATGATAATCCAGTCAAAGCCTTGGTAATATAGTCAATATTTCCATTTTTGTTTTCTATTTCAAGGAGAATAGATTCTTACTGAACTTATGCAAATACATATATTGTAATGAAAAATAAGAATATTTAATGAGAGTTTCTGAATTCTGCAGGGATAAGGTAGAAAGAAAAAGGTAAATGTTTTACCTTTGCTTATAAAGGTATATTTGACCAAATTGTTGAAAGTTTAAGAAAAACTTTCCTTAAATCTGGAAAGGTAAAACGTTAGAGAATCAGCATAAGAAGTAATAAAAATTATAATCATCCTCATTAGTTCATTTAGTCTCCTGTGATTAATTCTTGTTGATTTTGATCTTGGATTAGTAGCTTTATGAATCAATTTTTCACTTAGGTTTTAGAAGTTTTTACCTATTTCCCTGTTATGATCTTAAAGTTATGAGAAACCTGCATTCTAGGACTTGTCAGGGTCTTTTGCATGAATCTCCTTGAAGATGAAGCATTTTTGTAGGAACTTTTTTGCAAAGCATCAGAGTAACAAGGGAATTTGGTTATTTCTGTGACATACAACATTTTAAGATAATAGGATAGTAGCTGGAATTACTGAATGATAATATTATACCAAGACATATCAGATTTCCAGGAATGTCATGTAATTTCTGAAACACTTATAGCATATAGCTATATGGATGCAATGTAAAGAGGGCTTAGTATTACTTCTTATTTTACAAGGTTTCTCATGTGATTTAAGATATCAAATAAGCATAATTAGTTTCCCTTTCTCTTTATTAATTTTTTTTAAAGATTGGCACCTGCCCTAACATCTGTTGCCAACCTTTTCTTTTTCTTCTTCTTCTCCCCAAAGGCCCCTGGTACATAGTTGTATATTCTAGTTGTGAGTGCCTCTGGTTGTGCTATGTGGGACGCCGCTTCAGTAAGGCCTGATGAGCAGTGCCATGTCTGCGCCCAGGATCGGAACCAGCGAAACACTGGGCTGCCAAAGCAGAGCATGCAAACTTAACCACTTGGCCACTGGGCCAGCCCCTATCTCCCATTTTCTGTGGAGAGACAATGGATATTTTGAGATGCTCCAGGGGCCCTCTGGAAAAATCTCAAAGTTAGTTCAAGGTCAAAAGATTTCATTTAGAATTTGATTTTGGGGAATTTTGTCAAAAATATCAAAAAATTTGGATATTTGACTAAGCAGGGTCAAAGATCATTATGAAACAATATTTAATTACCCATTTAGCCAAAGTGACAAAAAGATTTCAAAGGAAAATATAGAAGGTTACATAGCTCAAGAAGCCTTAGCTTTTTTAATATGGAGAAGACTCAGCTTTTCTGAGTAATCAGACTTCATAAACACAAAACATGAATTCTTTTTCTCAGGCAGATTACATTAAAGACAAAGAAAGTTTGTCCTTTAACAAAGAGAAAAATCAAATTCTAATTTTGCACTGGTGTACTTTTGATATTAAAATTTATTTTAATTAAATTTATTTTAATTTTGCCACTTGACCATACATTAAAATTCCCTTTCAAAGATTTACTTTCCACAAACCTTCTATAACTTATTATTTCCATTCAGCCTTGTCTTATCTTTCCTCGGAAATATATCTTATTTTTCACATACAGTCCTTTTCTTTCATCTTTATTGTTACTAGTAGTTTCTGTAAAAAACCTTAGCTCTCTCACAAACCAATTTTGGTAAGCGTAGGTCTATACCAGTCTGTATTTCAAAAGAATCTCTTTTATTTATTTACATTTTTTGCGTACGCCATTTATTTGGTGCTATTATAAGCTTTAAAATTCTATTTTTGTTTTTCATTAAATTAAGAAGAGAAAGGAAATAGTTAACTAATAAAAGTCATTTTGAATAATAAATTCATTAAAATTTGTTATAGTCCTTTTGCTTCAAAAATGTTAAAAAATTATTTCTTAAGTGTCACACATTCTAAAATGTCTAATAAACACACAGTAAAAATACAAAAGATTAGCGGAAGTTATTTGGATGGTAATGATAAAGCCAAATAGAAATGCTCAGTGGCACATCATGTTTGCTAACTTCAAACAAAAAACATTGTAAAAGTCCTGAAAGGCAGCAACAGTTACTGTGGGAACAGCAGCTGGCACTGAGCCCAAGTGACAGCGTGAAGTAGACACTGGCTTCCAAACTCACCATCTTCCTTTTCCTTTCTGCAATCTGCTCCTCTGATTCTGTTTTTACTTCATTGCTAGGGGGGTTTTTCTTCTATATCATCAATAAAGTCTTGTTCCTGATTATTTGATACTGATGGTCTCAGTGGAGAAAGCTTTCTGTATTTAGTTTCTGGGCTCTTCATTTTGTTGGTTGTTCCTTCACAATCTAAAGTAATATGCTGTTTTTGTGTGTCTTTTTCTTTTGAAATACTCTTTTCTTCCCACCCGCCACCCTTTTTTCCTTCTGGTCTTACAACCAGTATTAATGTTTTCCATGGATTCAGAACTATGTTTCAGAACAGGGCACTCTGGATTTTTTTTGAGGAATAGACAATTCCCTTAGCCATAGTCAAAATCAAAGTCAATAGTCATTTTAGTTCCCTTTGGAATACTTTGTGTAAAATAAATGTAAAGATGTATGGTTTCATCTTCGATTTTATGCCTCACCTCTACATTGGGTATACAAGAATGCCTGATGGACTGAGCCTCGTTCCCAAAAGTTCCTGCATCAACACACATTTCTAGCCCAGGAAATTTAGAATAGAATTTAAAAATGAGTGTGACCTCTGAAAGAAATATCCGTTTTGCTTCAAACTGTTCTTTTAGCATAAACTTCACTGTATTCAATGATAAGGGCATGAGCAGGAAAATCATTTGTGGATTTCAGAATTGTCTTTTTTTTTTGTATATGGCTCTCTACAAGAGGTTTGAAGAGCAAATTGCTGGTATTCAAATTTGATTTTCTTATCTCTCTTTTTTTCTTTTCCACTTCCATTGCCTAATCTCAGAGCTAGGAGATTCTGAGTGCCTCCCTCTGAACACCCTTGCTGTGTTGGTTATTATTTGCTTCTTCATGTCGATCCATCCATGCTTTGATTTTTGCTCCCAATCCAAAATTTGGACAGTCAGATGAAGGATCAATCTCTGGAGTTGAGCCCTTAACTCTTGTTGGTTTCCTAGATCCTTCACAAAAGGCTTTTTTACATTTTGAGATGTCTTGTTCTTTCTCCCCACTTTCCCAGGGATTTTTCCCATTAGTATCCTAGTAAGGCTTTGTTACAAGTGCCACTTGGATCTTAAGGTGTGGCATCTTGTGCCTTCCTAGCTTTACAAAATGCTAAGGTCAACAACTTACTATCTTGATTTTCTACCTTGTCTGCTAGCCCCAAAGCTAGAAGAATAGTGGATAATTGTATGTCTTCTAATCTCAGCTCTTCTTTCAACTTTTTAACTGTTTGTAATCTTGCTTTCTAATGAAAACTAGGAAGCAGGCAATTATGAACTTTCTACATATATTAGCATCCTGTAGTAGATTACTAAATTTATGAATACATTTTATAATTTCTGGAAGTTTATTTTTCCTCATAGTAAATTTTTCAATGTGGCACATTAGGTTATTAATACAACCAAATATATTTTTTCTCTCTGTAAAAATTAAAAAGCCAAAAGTATATAAACTTTTGTTTAGCATTTAATGTTTATCTTATTTGAAAATGATTTAGATATTCAATGAATACCCATTATTTAGCTTAACTTACTACAAACTTTTATCTTATTTACATTTATTTAAAACACTTTTTTTCTAACAATTATATTTGTGTTAGTATTAAACAACTAACCATTATCTTATTTTTCTTGTTGACAAATTCTGTAACAGAAATAGCATGAGCTTGTTTTACTAGTAAACACAGGTAGAAAAAGTTGTATACTTGTATTGCATTTAATGTTGATAACTTTAAAGGCATGCCTGTTTTATTAAACTAACAAATTTAAACTAGCTTTTATTTATCAAAGATTTTCCTAGATCACATGAACTTGAAAAACATTTGGGTTAGTTTTTATATTTCTGAGAGTATACTTGATTTATATAAAGAATTTTTCTTTAAGCCAACTAAATAGAACTCTCTACAAATTAATTTTGGTAATACCATCCAGAGGTAGAAGAATATATGCTGATAACATACACATATAGACAAATATAGAGATCCTATGGCTTTTGGTTTTTAAAAAATTTCATCTGTGTCTCAGGTACAAAATTCAATGTTATAGTTAGATCCAAATTGTTTTTCTGGCAATACATTAACTTACCTCATCAGATGGCCAAAGTTTTTCATTAAAGATTTTTTTATTTATGTGCTGTAAGGATCCTTTTAGAGCTGTTTTTTTTTAAATCATTTTATCTTCTAGAAGCTTCTGCATACCAATCAACGAATGTATTCCATTGTGTCCAAGAGGTTTGGAGTCTTCTCATTTAAGGGTGCCTGTTAAGGTGGACATATCTAAAAACAAAAGTTCCCCAGAATGACCATTATAATTTCAAGTTATTCAAAAGTTCACTCATTTTCCAGAAAGGTGCAAGAGCCTGGTCCAAGAACCAGGTGGAATCTATCTTGCTTTTGAGTTCCCTAAAATATGTTAATTATGAGAGCTCCTGTTTTAAAACAGCTATTCTAAAACAGCAGAAATCATGTGTTTTCCCCTTTTTGAATAGGATGGATGACTTACCAGTAAACTTCAACAAACAGAAAACAAAAGAATACTCACCAGGGAAGGTTTTTCCCATAAAAACAGATTCTTAATAAAGCCAGAGAGCTCAAAACACAGACAGTGGAGATGCAATGCATCAGAGACTTTCCCTCGAACTCCAGCATCTGTGAGAAAACAGGGAACTCAGTGAGCTCTTGAGTACCAACACCTGTTTGCTCATCAGTCTTGGCGTTATTGGGGGTCTTCTCCGGATCCCACTTTTGACCATCATTAATGTAGACATTAAAAATAAAACAGCCAGTTATTTTACAACAGCCAGCAAAATGACTTTATTCAGAAATGGCAGAGGAGTTGCAATTCGAGCCATGCATGGTATGATGGAACATAGACAAGTTGAAGAGACAAACGGAAGGTCAGGTTTTAGGAGGGAATAAGAGAAGGTGGATTTGAACAAAAGTTCAGACAAGAACTTTGTTTGGGGAAGAACCAGAGTTCGAGATCCTTGGCTACAAGTGCGCTGGGTGTGTTGCTGGGGCAGGAAGAGATCTTCCTTCCTTTTCTTAAAAGCAGATGAAATTCCCACATGATTAATATGCTCCCTTTTCAAAATAATTCTTATTTCCTTCTTTATGCTGGTTATGCAGGCTGCAACAAGTGGTACATGTGTGAGAGTTCCCCCTTCAGGGCTTCCTGACTCCATTTTAAAAGATGTTTCCTTTATTTGTTTTCACAAAACCAAAAATGAGGAAGAGAACAGATCTAGAAGGGACAGATATGTTTGCCTCGGTGTTTGGATTTCATCTGGAGGGTTATAAAGAGCTACTAAAAGTTGTTAATAAGAGAAATTATATAATCAATATTCAGCCTTAGAAATATCATTTGCGTGTGGTGTGAAAAATGGATCGAGAAAGAGTGTGGATGTCTTTAAGCAAGAGGCCAGCTATAAGGCTATTTCAGTAGTCCAAATGAGATTAAGGAGAGACTGGTAGTGAGGATAGGAGGAGAGACGCAGATGTTTTGTGCTCTGGGCACAAAGTCTCAGTTCTCCACTACCAGGTAGGTCATTCCTTCCTGGTGTGTGTGTTTCCGCATCATAGCATTTCACAGTTGATAGAACTCTGGAGGGCATGGTTGGGGAAGTACTGCTCCACCTCCTGTCCCAGAGCCCCATGTAAAGAACTGACTCTGACTCCATCAAATTACTCTAGGAAGTAATAGATGAGTTAAGAGGGATGGACAAGGCTGTCCACAGACATATTTATGGTCACCTTCTATAATGACAATATTACTGTTACTGTAAGCCATGAAAACAGTCCCCATAGAAGAATTTGAAAACCCACTTCTGTGTAATAATTAACACAGATTTAATTTGTTTTGGTGTTAAATCATCTTCCTTCTTCCTACCTGGGGAAGGGCCAGAGATAGGAGAAAACTGTGTTCTATCTTGCTCATCTTTCCCACTTCTCCCCAGACTCCCACAGGCTTAAGAAGGTTTATGATCCCTCCAGGGTAGAATCAAAAGAGAAAAGGATGGGGGAAAGAGCACAGTCTTACATGGTAGATTCTCTCATGATCAAGACCTTCCCTCTTGGGAGTGCTCTTGTGCGTCCCTCATTGATTCCCATCACTAGAGATCTTTCATCTTTAGGTCTTAAGAAAGCAAATGCACTCTTTACCACAGCCTACGATAGCCCAGATTCCACTACCACCACCTCCCAGTAAAGCCTACATACGGGATCTAAGACAATCTCATACTTGTGTTCTTTGCATGTAGCCCCTCTCTAGTCCGTGGAAATCTTCACGTGATCTTTACCTGTCTGTTGGTGGGAGTCTAGTTATATCCCAAATGTGACCTCTCCCTCTATCTCCATCCCATACCTCCCCTTGAGGGCAGAGGCAGAAATTACTCACAGATCCTTGCAAACTCTCCTCTTGCTTTTACCCTTTCAGAGTTTCAAAATGATTAAGGATGAGATTGTTAGGGTAAAGAGATGCGGAGCCGATTTTCAACTATTGCCCTTGAAAAACTGACTCAGGTACACTTTCAATTTTTTTTAACCATTTATCAAGGAAAATTTCAAATATACATAGATAGAATAGTGTAATGAACCTCCATGACCTGCCAGCCTCCTTCACCAATTATCAACCCATAGTCAGTCAGTCATGTCTCATATATTCCCCACCCTCATGCCACCCCACTAGATTATTTTGATTCAAGTTCCTCATCACATCATTTTATCCACAAACATACCAGTATGTGTCTCTGTTAGTTTTCTATTGCTCAGTAACAAATTACTACAGACTTAGTATATTAAAACAACACCTACTTATTATTTCACAGTTCTACATTGTAAGAACTCCAGGTGGTTTAACCAGGTTCTCTGCTCAGGGTCTTATAAGGCTAAATTCAAGGTGCTGCTCAGGCCGGGCTTTTCTCAGGAGGCTTGGTGGGGAGAATCCACTTTCAAGCTCATTCATGTGGTTAGTAGAATCCTTACGGCTGTCAGTCTGAGGTCCCCATTTCCTTGCTGACTGTCAGGGTCTCTTCTCCTTGTTCCTAGAGCTGCCTGCAACCCATCTGTGTCCTCTCCCTCTTCAAACTAGCAGTGACTTCCTTTTCATGCTTCAAATCTCGCTGACCTCCACTTCTTTCTTCCTTTTCTACCTATCAGTTGGAGAAAGATCTCTGCTTTTAAGGGCACATGTGACTACATGGGGCTCACCTGGAAAATCCAGTATAGTCTTATTCTCTAGCTACCTCATTACACCTACAAAGTCCCTCTTGCTATGTGAGGTAACATATTCACAGGTGTGATATCTCATTGTATTCACAGGTTGTGGGATTAGGATAAGACATCTTTGAGGTGGTCATTTTAGAAATTCTGTCTACCACATAAGCCAAAGCAGTGAGGAAGAAGTAAAGGAAACCCGTGCTCTACACCTACCTCCACCTCCACTCAGGTGCCAACAGGTCCGCCCAACATTTCCGAAAAAATATGTTTTGTAATTGCTGCAAACATGGTATAACTGATGAACATCCATGGATTCATCTACATTAGAAAAAGGAAACAGAACATATTGAGATCATGTAAACTTTGATTTGGGGTGGAGATGGGATTGGAGTTGAGAGAAAAAATAAAACCAAGGACAGACACTGATTGCCATTTTATGAAGAGAGCAAGAATGACCACATTCACATAACCCATGCCCCTGCCCAACTCCAACACTTCCCTTAGTCACTTTATGCATATGGTCTTAGTTTTGGCTTCCAAATAGGTTTAGACATGGAAAAAAAATAAGTACTGAATAGCTAATCATGAAAATAGCTGGTCACAAGCCTTGGAGAGAAAATACATATTTCTGTGCCACTGCAGTGACACTTCTCATGTCTGTAATTCCTTCCTACATCACAGCAAAGTATCCTAAGCCAATAGGGACTCAAATAGGGACTTAGTCACACCACTGCAATGAACTATCTGTGGTGGGTCCACTTCAAAAGAGTGAACTGGGTAGCTTGGCCTTTTCTATCTCTATCCCTTTCAACAACTATTTTCTTGCCTTGCAGTGGTCATAAACCTTTATGTCTCAGAAGATAAGCCCGGAACCACAATTCCTTTTGTCTCTTGTCAAAACTTATCTTACCTGCATCCCGATCCTTCAACTAGTTTTGTCTTGCTCTATCTGATACACTAATTCATGTGGCTGATACTGGTTTAATGTCTTACTCATATCTAAGATACCACATTAATACTTTCACAGGAGCCAGCAATGCCTTAAACCAAAGCTAAAACAAAAAAGGAAATGTCAGTTACTCTAGAAGGCAGATTCTGGAAATATGTTGCAGCAGAAAGCATCTTTATTCCTACTTAAGCTATGTCTGTTTAAAAATGCCTTTCCTCAACTGTAGCTGAGGGATTTTCATGTTTTGACATGTATAATTTTGAAAATATTATTGTTCACTGTAGCATCCTCCTGTATGTCTTCTTTCAACCTTTCACTTTTAAAAAGTGCCTTATAAAAGCCAGACGCTACATAACTGATAGGCATGCAAAAAAAAAAAAAAAAAAATTCTCTGGACCCCAGGGATTCACAGTTTAGTAAGAAAAAAGCAAGCCTATCAGCTCAGTACAGGTTGGGACACAGAATTTTGAGATTGAGAGCCTCATGTTCCCTGGCTGTAAAGGATTTTTAGCACAAGGTTGTTCAGTTCTATAGATTTATGACATGGAATGAATAGCAAACAAATAGTTTTCCTCAGTTCACAAGTTCTATTCATGTTGAAAGAAGAAAATCTATTCAATTATTTCTTTTCTGTCAGATTGCCAATTTTTGTACTGTTGGGTTGATTAAATTCAATGTTTGAAAACTCCGAAAATATTTCAATAAAAGGGACCAAATACACAGATGATTGTAAGTGATTTAAATTCCGATGGGTTTATTTCACTTTCTGTGTTGCGTTTTCACATGAGGTTAAATTAGAACTTTTGTAAATATTGTGTTTGGAGTTCTCAATCAATGTCTCCTACTAACCTTGACTTTCTTATTAGTTTTCAGACTGACTTTGTCTGTACATTTCTCACAGAGGCAACTTGAGAGACAAATATCTACTCTATTATTTACTCAGATGTGTTTTGAAATGTTCACCAAAATCTCTAGACATGCAGCTTATTAAAAAAAGAAAAAGAAAAGAAAAGAAAAAGAGCTGTCTTCCCTAAGCCTTCTCTTTGATCAGCTCCAGACCACGTGCTCTATCAAAAAAACCTTTTATTTTCTCCTAACTATTCTCTACTCTTCATTGTCTTCCAAATCAATGTCAGCAAGTTGTTATTCATCACCTTGAAGATGCTCAGCAGGCATTAGGCTCTATACAGAAAAGGGAAGAAAAAGACTTTCAGAATTGCTTTTTAAAATATCTTAAATCTTCTTGAAGTAAAAGAAAACATACTCGTGAAATATATGTGTTTCTGTAAAAAGAATGAATGTAATCAAATGTTGATTGAGTGATTCAAGAAGTAAATGTATGAGAAGAGGGAGAAATAACTTTCCTAGAGAGTCTTAAATGAGATTTGGAAGAATGGGCAGAAGTTACACAGGCTAACCAATGGAGGGCGAGATAATCTGCTCGACATCAGAAAGACGGCATGCGAGCAGAGGTTGCACAAGGTCATAGGAAGATAATTGTTTTCTTTGGAGTTAGTGTGTGAATTAAGAAACATGAAGTGAGGACTTCCTATGTGTCAGGTAATGTGGGAAGCACCAGACACAGACTAAGTGAACAATGCAGATGTGGAATTGCCAACACAGAACTTACATTCTAGCTGGGAAGTCAAATAGTAAATAAATAATTGCTGGTAGATAATAATAAAACTAAGTATGCCAAATGTCAGGAAGGAGTACAAAATGCTAAGGGACTGTATGTTTGAGGGACTTAATGAAGGCCAGTGTACCTGGAAAGGAGAGAGAGATGGGGAGAGTGGCCACGTATGACCCTGTAGCATTTACGAGGGACCAGGGCATGGTAATCTTTCTTGTATATTTTGTAGTTTATTCTAATGATAACAGGCAACCCTTTTGATGATTAGACACAGCAATAACCTGACTAGATTTGTATAATGTTAAAGATAAAGTTTAGAACACTGAGTTTTGATTAGCAGATTCCAATCTATCCCCCCTCCTTGACCACTGACTGTCAATTACTTGGGCCTTCGTCTCAACATTCGTAAAACTGGATAGCATTGTGTAGGTCAAATGAGATCACATAAGTGAAAGTGAGTTATAAAGTGACATTCGTTGTGCACACATGTATAAGGGACTGCTACTTATGCTCTCATTCAACTCTGTATCATCAGCCACTGAGAACATGCCTACACCATCATACAAGGCCCAGTAAATGCTTTTGTACTGAACATATAGGTCTACACTGTAGGGAAGGAAGAATATTTCTCTATCCTCTAGGTTCTTCTGGCTGATCTAAGAATTACACAGGAGAAAATCAAACAAAGTTTAATAGCATGTATACATAGGAGAAAGCTGGGAAAATTGAGTAACTTGCCAAAATGTCTTAAGCCACCACCTTAAATACCACCTCCAGCTAAAGACAAAGAAGGATGTTGAGCGTAGTTGTATGGAACTTCAAAGGGGAGGAAGGCAATTCACATGCAGATGGAAAAGCAAATGTTTGGTAAACAAATGTTTGCCATACCTTGCAAAGACAATGAGATGTGGGGAGGACTTTGCTTAGATGAGTCTTGTTGGGTTCCTCCCTGTCTACCACACTTAGTTTATATTACACGATAGCTATCTATGGTATTAGCTCCTTCCTAGGACAGGCCTTCTGTCTTAAATTCTTTTAGGCAGTTAGTGGGGAGGTCAAAGTTTCTTTCTGAGTATTTTGTTCTTAAAAATAATCATGCCAGAGAGACACATATTGGGGTGGCAAATTCTGATCCCCCACAATATGCACACACACCCACATACACATGCACGTGCATGCGTGTGCTTCAGAATCCCTTCCTCCAAAGGTCACCTTCCTCTAGTTGACTTGGGAAAGTATTCTTGTGTCACATCCTTTCCTGGCTCAGTCTCTAGTGGGCACAGTACCACACAGTTACTGTTGAAAACTGATCTCATAAAATTTGTTCTTCTTTCACTGCTGCAATCACTCCATAACTGGCCCAGATTCCTGCACTGGACAGAGAATCCCATGCTCATGTCCTTAATGCTCATGCTCATTAGTATGTGTTAATTTCTCAGCCACTATACTCAGAACCCTCGGCCAATTCAGGGTGGTTGAATTGCAGAGAACTTCTGATCTCAGTCATGCAGTGTCTCAAAACCAGCCATTGCCCCATGATCCTCTTGGCCTTGATGTTGAAACTCTGTCACTAATGCAGATTCCCCTTCCCTCATGGGAAAATCTCCTTTGCAGGTCCTCCATATTCTTTCCTCTCAGTTAACTTCAACTATCCTAGAAAAGTTCTAATAACGTTGAATTTCAAAAAGGAAGAGGTTTAGAGTTCAATTAATCACTTTCCATCAATGTAGCTCCTTGGCCTTGATTATAAGATATGTACCTTCATCCCAGAGGCCAGCTCTGCAAAGAAGGGGTATTTTGAGTTAGAATCTTCCATAAACAACAAAAGACGCTATTACCAAGGTGTTAAACCCTTAGCTGTTTAATCCCATATCCCAGGGTCTTAACTATTTTGCACACTACCTTTTAAGCATAAATTTGTTTACTTTCTTAAACTGTGTCAATCTCAACCATATAGACCTTGCTATCACTTTGATTCCATCTTGCATCAAAATTCGATTTTGTATGCCCTAAATTCCCTTTTGGAGTAATTTTATTAAGCCTGTGGGGTCTTTGGCTTCTTTTTAGGCCTCTACAATAGTTGTACTCTATGTATGATAAACATTTGTTAAATTTGACAGAACTATTCTGGCAAGGAAATATTTTTTATGGCCTAGTTAGAATATATTTTGAAATCTTCTTAAGGAGAAAACTTAATCCCCTCCACCTAAGGATTATCTTCCCAGCTCTTCCAATTTCTCCATCTGTCTTGTATCTAAATGACAGTTTCTTGGACATTCAAATCTACAAAATGCAATAGAAGTTTCCTTCACTGTGAGATGACAAATCTTCCTGATGACATTCATTCCTCAGGCGCAAAAAAGAGTAATGGCTCCTGTTGTTGAAGTGGTGAGGATGCATACAGATGCTGGTAAGGGTGCTGATTTTGTGACAAAGCATCAGTGATAAGGGATTTACCTGTTTTTCAATATCAACTGAGTCCCAAGAGAAACTTCTAGATAGATTTCTCAGCCTGGGTGGTGCATTCTCCTTGTTTTTCTTTGGGGAGCCACTGTTTCATTATTCATTTTACATTTAGTGTTATCAGTCCAGCTGGTTTGACATGGTGCTGATGAAGCGATGTTCAAAGTTCTGAAAATTTAATTCATAATTTTAAAGGTCAAAAATAGGTGGATTTTCTCAGGCAAGTCCTGGATGCCATTTGTTTATCAACTGTCATAAAACCTAGTATTTCCA